TAATAATACTATTTTCTTTTATTGACTGAGTGTTATCAAGTTAAATGGAAATGGATTGTCTGTTTGTATGTTTCCCTTGTTTACCGCATTCTTGGTAGTCATTCCAGTTAAATAGCGTAGAAAATAAAGTGAAGCTTTCTGATTTGACCGGAAGTCCGTCAGCTAGATGGCAACCCTACTGCCGGCTATCGCGGCGATCTCGCTCGATTCCCACAAACGTACGCGTTGTTATTACTGTCATCGGTGCGTGACGGACGGACGTGTGATTATCGAGCTATGCGATGCGCGCGGCCACGCCGCACCGCACCGCAACCGCGCTGCGACAACTGTTAGCGGGAAGGCCCCGTAATTGAGCCCGCTTCGAGGAAACGATCAGCATGCACCAGCAGAAGGCTCGCGCCACCGCTGCCACCGAGCCCGGTTTCTTCGGCCGTTGTCAATTTCGCCGCAGCCCTAATTACCTTTTCGAAGAACCAGCCGGCGGCGTGCATCTCTCATTAGCGACGTTTCCTTTGTATGCACAAATAATGTATAATATTGGTCGTACATCTCAGTAAAACCAAAGTCCGTCAAACGTATCTTCCGCCGTTATGCGGCACATCGCTTTACAGGTTCACAATGTAAGCATCGGTAATAGTAACTTATTAAAAAGTAATAAAAATATAAAACAGTAAAATAAAAATCCTCATCCACTTAGCTAATCCTCCACTACTGGATTAAAATGAAAAACCAATTCTCGCTGGAAATAATAATTAAACTTTATATTTTTCTAATATGTTAGCGGAGATTTATATGCCCTGTTTTTTGATGAACGAAATACCTGAGGTAAATTAATCATTTTTTATTAGACAATTTAAACATCAAAAAGGTGGATTCACATGGACCCTAGTAATTCTTAATTCTAGCGCGAAATCTCTAGACAGGCATCTCATCAGTAACAAAAAGCGTTGTAAGGAATATTTCAATTAGATTTTTGCTAAATGACGCAGAAAGCTTAAGCCTTGACTTTTGATCCCTTTCCAATATTACTGTCCGGTTGATTGTCAATACCCGGAACCGACAATCGAGTATTGACGTAATTTGGCGCTGTCACGTGAATAAACTTGACGACACAATAATGTGGTTAGTATATTTTTTACCCATTTTGTTAGACGGGTGATTGACTCGCTGGACAAAAACCCGGACATGGGCCATGGTGCAGACTCCGACATTGTTTATGGTACATTATCATTGCAGATTGTGGAGCGTAATTAAAACTTTTTTACAACTCCTCAGTTCCGAGTACCGGCGAGCGAGGAAACGTATTTTAATTTTAAACTACACTATTTTTTGTATGTCGTATTAGGTTATGAGATATCATTATCGTATAATTTTCTATAAGAAACGTTACACGAATGTTTTTTTGCACATAACGAGAATTTTAAATTCGTATCGCGTGAAAATTTGGACAGCCCTAAAAACGTAATTTATATATGCGTGCAGACTGTAAGATATGAAGCAAGTAGTTAATATATAATATTTGTTTCTATAATTCAATATATTATTGTTTTACGACTAAAGTTTATGATTTATTCAACAGTTCGTTTTAATATCTTATCAACTACGATCTGATTTCGGTCGCTTACTTAAAAGGTTAGAATTATTCTGGTGAAAGGAATTATTGTTTGTAACAAAATGTAGTTATATTTTATGTACATAAGTTAATGTTACAAATTGTAACCAAACATTGGTATTGTACACCGTTTTATGTGCAAAAAAACCAAAACTTTAACTGTATGCATAAAAGCATCAAGAGTCTTTTACAATGCAGTTTAAATTATAAAGAGAAAACTTATACATCATGTTGGGATGCGAATGATTTGTTACAGGTCGGGCGAGTGCAACCCGACACGCGGGTCAAAGACCGGTTCGAGTTTCGGAAATATTCGCAGGCCCAGTCAGGAGGGGCAGCGGTGACCTCATCTCAAAGTCTTTTATTTGGAATCCTCACTCTTCACGCTACACTGTTATTCGTCATTAAAAATTAACGTCCATTCTTCGCTGTACATCTTTGTGGTTATAATAGCACAAAGGAAAGCAACCTTTGTTCGAGGTCCGAGTAGATACAGCTTCTAGCGTCAAAGCCTTTGTTCACCTACTTTATTATGTCTCAAGGTTAGCGGATAATATTCTCTTTTGTGTTGCTATAAAGTAACATAGATATATCAATAAATAACATTATCCTGAATTTATCTTTTGTCACACGAATACAGACATTTGCAGTTTCCCGTTTACCAAGACATGTGGAGCGGTGCAGTTGCGTAAGTCACTCGACAGCTGCATTCCGCATGAACTTTGGGAGGGCGTCACAAGAAATTGTTAAATAATTTTATATTATTGAAATTGTGAAGTTTGCTTCAGGGCTGTCAGTTGTTAAAAATCTATAACTTTTTCTTCTATAGGTATGGATAAAAAACTAACTTCGACGTAATAAAAATTTTTAGAAGTGATTGTTAAATGTCCTTACTTACTGTAAAAAGAAAACTCCCTAGTTTAGATATCCGTCTGAGGATGTGCAAAATTTCCAAGCATCGGTCTGAATTTATTGGTTATATAATGAAAATGTTATGTCGTATAATAGCGGCACATGTCGACAGTCGCCAGAGGGCGCGGGTGCTGCGGGGTCCGCGGCGCGGTGGGCGCACATGCGGCGGGCCCACAAAGTGCACCGCACTCGACGGCGAACTTTTTATTTGCTTTTCCCTTTACTTGTTCGCTTAGTTATGGATTTCCGCCGGCAAAACCGCGTGCGTGCATCGGAACCCGTTTCGAAAAGCTTTCTTTGAATCCTCCTGCCGTAAGAAAATAAACAACTTTTACATAGCCGCGCGGCACGCGGAATGTTGCTCCGCTCTTGTTGCTACGACCATTATTAATTATAACACGGGACACGATGGCGCAGTGGTTCACTGCCCTCGTCTGGAGTCTCTGGATCGAATTTGGCAAAGTCCAATACAATTATCATGAGACCTCAAACTTTTAGGGCATCCGAACATTATTTTTTATGTAGATCTGCTTAATGTTGAGTAAATGTACTTTTACACTAGGATTTAGATAATAGAAATCTGATGACAATGAGCCAAGCCAATTTTATGTATTATTAAATATCTGTTTCGATTCGATTTCATTACAATTCGTATAGGTAGTTACGTACGTATGTGTGAGTGTGGCTTACATAGTGTTTGCACTACAACGATCTCCGCGCATTATAAAATTATTAGCCCAGTTATTAATCTGAGCAGCGTACATATGGTATGAGTCAATTCTTTAGAAAACGTTAAATATATTAACCCCGATCTCCCAGGGACATGTAGTTATAAACATTCGCCGGTACTTTTAATAATGGTTTCGCAGAATCTGTTGGTAGTAATAACATAGGTATTCGCAAACATATTTATGTAATGGAGAGGGTATATGTATGGAAATTGGTAGATGGGGTCGATGAGAAAGCAATATAACAGCTGTGGTATCAATGGGCAGTCTCGCTCAAGTGGGAGTACCTACGGCTCTATAGAAGATGTAAAGTAGACATATGGCTTCTGCATTTCCTGTTCCTTCTCTGTGTTTAGTCTACCGTAACATCTGCAACTCATTAGAGTCTTTCAATTGTTTATAGGTAAGACAGGTGAACTGCTTGCAAATTTGCCTCCAGGACGTATAGGGTTAATCTCATTTTATGTATAGGAGAGAGAAAGATAATTGTGTGAATTTGGACAGGCCGGCGCGGCGGTGGGGGAGTGGCTCTCGAGCGTTTCGGGGAACCGATCCCGTCGCGGCCTTGCGATCGCATCGCCCGAATGTTTGTTTTACTTTCGAACGATTCAAAAACGGCCACCGCGAAATTTTAGTGTTCGCGGTAAACGCGCGGCCCCGCGGCTCGTAGACCGTTTGTTTGCGCGCTGATTCGCCGAACGGTGGGCAGCTGGCACCGCTCAGCGACCTGCCCGCGCCGCGCCAAGCCAGTAAACATCGCCCGTGGACTTTGCTCATACAATACAAACATTTCAAACTGTTGTTATTAATTCGATGTTAGTATTAGTACTTTGTTCACAAAGAATAAAAATTAGTAAAATATTTCATTTGTTGTACGACTCTCTTTTGTCTATATTTCTTCATTTCTATTACATTTGAATTTGCAATATAATATCTTAATTCAAATCCTTTCTCTTTGGACACCCTTTTCTCGCAGCAATATTCATGTAATGTTCCCATGTCTGATGCGAGGAGATTTCCTCATTGTCGATCGTTTGATGCAACGCGTTTCGCCGAAGTGGCGTGTCCCCCGCAGCTGCACCGGAACGGCGCTCCATTAGCCGTTACCGCGAATTGTTGCACTCACCTACCCCGCCTCCGCCACCGCCACCGCCACCGCCACCGCCACTGCCACCGCTACCTACTCCGCAGTAAATCAATCTTATCGCGAAATCACATTACGTAGAAGATATTAACGGAGATGATCCGATCCTGCGCAATCGCTCTTATGCGCGTGCGCAACTACTTGTTCTCGGTACAACCCATTTATGACATGATGTATGTGTTCTTTTTACTGTTTCCTCGAATTATGTTTCTTTTAGTATGATGAGATAATAATTTCAATTCAATTTTGTACGCAGGGTCTCCATCTCTATCAGCCGTAATATCTGAATCCACTCCTTGCTTAAGCATACCTTTTTCACAAAACCCATCCATACTTTCTTCGGTCTTCCTCTATCTTTGTAGCCATCGTCTTAACACTTTCTGGCTTACGTCCCCATCGTCTCATTGAACTTTATGAATATATTATAATATAAATAAATTAAATAAAATAATTATCTCAATTTCACTGTGACCTGTTACCTACGTATATGACTAAGCGGATTTTGGTAAGAAAAATGGCTAATAACATGTTCATAGTGTCATAGGATACCTACAGTCAGACGATTTTTTTATAACCAAATTATCAACGTATTGTTTTGTTATAGGTTTAAGGACGGCGTCGCGTACCCGTGGTCCGCGGGCGTGTCGAATTTGATCCTGTACCCAGAGGCGGCCAACCAGACTCTGTACACACGGCGCGCCGCCCGCGCTGACTCCGGCAACTACACCTGCCGCCTCAGCAACGAGACACACAGCGAGACGCACACCGTGCGACTTGACATACTAGGTAATACATAACAAGGGAACTAACACCTACTAACTTGTACTATACTGTTCTTGTAAAAGAAAGAACAATTGTTATTGCTACACAAAAAAGAACATTGCAACTTTTTGAACAAAAATACAGGGATGGGAAGCGCTCATTTTTGTCCGACTTCCCAAAAGAAGGAGGTACTCAATTCGTCTGTATGTTTTTTAGCTGCATCCTTTGCACTAAAATGCTTCATTTTACACACATGAATGGTGCTTGAGTTCAAGTTAGATGTAATTCGGCACGCGAGTCCAGTTTTTTACACAAATGTAAAAGTGGAACTGAACTTAATGCATTGGTAGACATTATGTTTTCATAAAAGTTATGAATATACTAAAGTGATTGTATCATTAGAATGACCTCAGCTCACAGATGGAAATATAATACAAGTGATATAAAAATTACAATGAGAACACGGAGCGAGCTCGGCCGCAACGCTTCACTAACTCTTTTGATGCATATTTAATTTAAAATTATACCAAGTATATAAAAAGGAATCGAATGAAGATGTTTGTAGTCTAATTAATTTCACGAGTGTCAAGGTTTTGTAAAAGTGTTTATAACTTTAATGTCTACAAAGACTTTGAACGGTTTATGCTCTGGTACATCTATTTTTTTAAATATTTAAATAAGTTACATGCTTAGTAATAACTGTCACGTTAACTATTATCATTAGTCGGGCAATTCGTTTGTGTCCTGTGACAAGTTACAAGTCAAGGGCAATTTCTAAATCCTGTTCAATGTAATGTTGGCACGAGGATCGAATTCCACGTAAAAGTTATGCCACATTACGTAGCCTAGTGCTGTAATGTGCAATCACGTCCACCGCCACACCGCCGTGTGACTGATCGTACGGCACGACGCTTCCGAGAATACGACTTATCGATCGTGATGCGAAAATATATCGATCTATTATCGATCGATACTACAAACGCCATCTGTTTGTTACCTGACAAACTGGCCCTAAAACATGAAAACGTAAATTAACAAAGTGAATTTAAAGTAATGTTAGTAATTGGTAGTTACTAGTAGTAATAATAAAAAAAAATCCACATCAAACTTTTAAAATATGGAATGATAACAACAGTTATTATGCTTTCAAATGATAAAGCTTATCACAACTTTGTATTACCTGGATGCAGCCTATTTGCAAATAAACTTTACCTTTTTATGCACGTGACATCTTTGTAGGACTCTTTTAATTAGGTGTCGCCCGCGACCCTGTCTGCGTGGAATCAAAATAACAAAAGCAGGAAGTCTGCGTTTTTCCAGACTATCCTATACATCTATGACAAATTTCATCTGGATCCGTTCAGAAGTTTACTATACAAACTCTAACATCCATCCATTCATCCATCCATCTAAACTTTCGCATTTATAATGTTAGTGAGATTAGAAAGATATAATGCATAATAAAATAGCATTTGTTTATTAATTTGATATAACTGATAACTGGGACTGTTGTGGTCATTTTATATAATTTACAATTGAATAGCCTGCAATTTGTTGATTCCCGTTCATAACCGCAACACATTAACTGACAGAGCGGGCCTTATTTTGCCTCATACACCGTCGCAATCGGGTTTCGTTCGGGGAATTATAACAAAAGCGATGGTCACACGCAACGTTTCGTTTCGCAGAAAAGCCGACAGATGCTCCGCGGACGATGTTCATCTCCAAGGACCAGTGGGTGGAGGAAGGGAGTGAGGTGCGGCTATACTGTGAGGCGCTCATCGGTAAGTTATATATCCTCATCCCTCATTATCATTGGAAAAACAGAGATAGCATTATTTGTCAACACATGTCAGTCAAAACCCAGTTACGTATAAATACTGATAACACATACTGACCCGATTCCGTGTGCGTTCGCGGAATGAAAGTTTTGTCGCCGAGACTTTCCTCTTAAATGTTACGTCGCGTGCGGTTTGTGTTACTGGCGTGTATGCGCTCGCGGTTGTAAAATTGTCAGATAAAATTATTTATACATGACTCGTGCCCCGCTGGGATATAAATTGTATCGAGATATAAGTTAGTTGCAGTACTTTGTATTCTTTATACTGTTTTGTAATCTTAATACTATCCCAGAGTGTGACATAATTTGTAGACATCTATAAATTTGTAATAATATGGATCTAATATGAAGCTTACGCCCGCGCCACCGTCCGCGTGGAATAAAAACAAAAGTGTGTAGCCTACGTGTTCTTCAGAGTATAATCTACATCTTTACCAAATTTTATCGAAATCCATTCAGCAGTTTAGGCAACAAACTCTAACAAACATCCATCTATCTAAACTTTCGCATTTGTAATATTAATATGATTAATAAAATAATTTTAATTATGCAAACTCAAACAGCTTGGTTTTGAAGAGTGGAGTGTTTATATCTAAAGTGTTGCAGGGCGATCGTACTTGGCGGACGCACGCAGTGACCTGCGCTGGTGGAAGATGTGGCCAAACGGCACTGAAGGCGACCTGCTGCCCACACAGCAACAGCACAAGACTGTTCGGTAAGATATGTAACCACATTCTTACAATGCTAAAAAAAACACTTAACTAAATTGAGCGCCAATAGCCTAATAGTTAGAGATACGGTTTCCGATCGAAGGATCGAATCTCGCCATTCAACTATTATCGTAAACCATATCCTAGCAAAAGCCTAAAACATTTTGTTAATGTTTTAGGCATCGCCAGCGTCAAATTCTGATTTGAAGCTAATACTCTTTAGGCCTTTGAATCATAACGGTTTATAATAGCTCGTGTGTTGCAGTGACGATGTGGAGGACATAATCGGCGCGTACCTGGTGGTGGAGCGTGTGACTGCGCAGGACTACGGCACCTACGTCTGCCTCGTGCAGGCCAACGACTTCGTCTCGCGCAGCTACGTCACCTTGCACTATAAATGTATGTAAACAATTAACAAATGTTCCTCCGGCTACTCTAAAACACCTTCTTTCCAATGGATCCTATCGATGATAATCGCCGAATAGAGATATCATTTATAGATATTCACTATGTTAGGCCACCGCTCATGGTATTTGATAGAAAGAGACTTAGCCCTGTCCCACTAAATTGTAAATTGTCTGATAACAATACAACGTGTAAAATGTGTGATGGAAATTCGGGTTTTATTTTTTTTATAACTAAAAACATAATGCCATGGATACACTTACAAGCTAACACAGCATTATAATAAATAAAATGTTTTTTTTTTCTAATAAAGTCTCTCTCTTTAGGCTCATCATAATAAAAAAGAGGGAGTTATAGATATCTTGTCCAGGGTGCTTTAGATATCTCGTTCAAGGCGCTAGTAGAGA